TGTAGTACTAACTGCAGTTTGCCTTAAGTTAATTGTTAAATATTTTTCCGTGCTTTTTCATCAGTCAGAGGAATTTATCAAATTGGAAATATTTGCTGTAATTGTCTTTAAGCCTGTGAAGATACTTGTGCCAGGTAAAAGCACAGCAGATTTTACCCTTTTCTTGTCTCTCTCTTTTGAAGGAAGGAAAAATAGTCAGTTGGAATGCTGAAAGCAGACAGATAGAGATTGAGATTCTTTCATCTTCATCAAACAAGTGTATGTATCTCAACCCTTGAGTATGTAAAATGTCTAAAATAGGCTTACCACAACAGTAAAACTAAGCATGACAAATATTTAAACATTTCTGGGCACTTTCCTTTCTCAGCATTACTTCTAATATTCTTAGGTTGCCCACACCTTAATGTTACGTACAGAAAATTTGTGGCATTTGTGGGTTGTCTTTAGGTTGATTGTCTGCATTGCCAAGTAGATTTGGATGCTTGACAGATGTGGCCTAAATGCAAAGACCACGGAGTTGTGCAATCCAGTGAGAGAGCGTAAATTTGTGTCCTATTGGAACTGCTCTGCTGTGGTGTCTGAAAGATTTGAAGGGTTATGTGGAATAGAAATGGGCTTGTGAGTAGAGGGAATGTTAGACCCCAATCCTGTCCTTATTGAAGGTAGCAGCAGTTTTGCCACCGACTTTCATTAGGTGCAGAGCTGAATCCTGGTATGGTATCAGATCATGCAGACCCCTGAAATTTTGGATGCCTGTATGGTTATTGCCATTTTAACCAGCAGTTGCAAGTTACCACACCTGCAGCCTTGAGTTCAACACACTCTCTCTTTCTACTTAAAATAGAAAGTTAATAGTTTTATTAGCAAATCTCGACTCCCTTGATGGATTTTATGGTATGGCCTTAGCTAACAGAACTGGGTGACTGATCTCTGATTGTTAATTGCACTATTGGTGTAAACATGCTTAACACTGTAACTGAACTGTGACAAATCTGTCTCACCTCAAATAATTATAGTGTGTCAAAGTTCAGAGTAAGGTGGCAGTGCATGACATTAGCATAAATAGAGTAGCATATGGGACTACTGACATGCTTAATTTAAACTATAGAGGATTAAATTAATGTTGAGTTTTTTTGTAACATGTAAAGCGGATTTAATATGGGAACTTGACCAGCTGCAGAATGTTTGTGGAAAACAGTATAAATGACTTTTTCCCCCCCTCCACCCTATCTTGCTCAAGCGGTTAAAGAGCCAGGAAAGTTTGATCTGGTGTACCAGTCTGCAGATGGAGCTGAAACAATAGAGTATGCCGTTTCTCAGGAAACAAAGGTGTGTGGATGTTCTTCAAATTGCTTAGCACTGTTCTCTGCACAAGTGAAGTCTTACTACTTTTATGGCACTGTTTGCAGCAGCTGAGAAACAAACTTGTTTACGTGAGCTTTCTGTCTGCAATACGGCTTGATTAAAACAAGGGAAACTACAAATACACTGCTAACTAAAAATCAGTAGTTATGCTTGTAATAGTCAGAATAACATCAACCATTAAAATCACATTTGATAGCTACACCGGCAGAAAGTGTATATACTCAGAACATGCTCAGCAGTAAACGTTTTAAAAGGCTCAATATTCTTAGTATAATAGAATATAATGTCTAGCACATTTCAGTTGTCACAAGTTTATCTACTCGCCTGATATTCACCTCTCCCCATACATGTTGACCCTGGGCTGATGGTGGAACTCCATGGGTGATCGCAGAGCGGAGCTGAGATAAACCATGCAGCTCTCTGTACTGTAGCTCATGTTCTGCAGTGCTCTTGTACTAATCAGCTATGCACTCACATTTCCTTTGTACAAGTCTAGACAAAATTTAGAGAAGAAATTACCAATACCTTTGTGCACACAATCTTGTACATGTCTCTTTTAGGTCACAGAAAGCTGGGATGCACTGATTGAGCCAAGACTGATTGTTGAGTCATCTTCTACTGAACCGAGCACAGAAAAGGAAAAAAATTAAGATGTGAACTCACTTTCCCTAGGTGTATATAACAAGAGGACTGTTTTGTGAAGTACTGCGTTGGTTCTGAAGACAGCTGAATTCACTGTTGGTTTTCTTTTTTTAATAAAGGATTTTAAAAACTGAAACTGTTTAAAATGAAGATCTTCAAATATAGTTTGCATAGGGAATTTTGAGGTATTTAAATATGGGAATGTACTTGTACACCTCTGTCTTTAAATACAATTTTAACAGTACAGCAGCTTTTCTATTACCAAGAGTCACATTTTTTAGGAACTGCTGGCTTAAAGACATGAAGTATAGTCTTCCTGTAGTGGAACTAGTGCTTAAGTAGAGCTACAGCATTTCTAACAATAATCCAAAAGTAACTTGCCCTAAGGAGGATTAAAAAGAACACAGATCTGCAGAATTCATTGCACAGTCAGTTTCCAAAAAAATTCAGTTCTCAGTGTGTTCTTTGTCTCCACTGCTGCAAGGCTTGATATCAGTGCTATTACTTTGTACTTCTATAGCTCTTTTCATCTGAACATGTCCAAAACATTCATCCATGTTAAGTCTCTGCAGTTCTGAGTGATAGGCAAGTGCCTTTGTCTTCCTGCAGATGGTGAAGATGAGGACCTTGGGGCAGAGCAAGGAATAGAACCCAGGAGTCTAGTAATTGCTCCCAGGCAATATTGCCTTCAATAGGTGTTAATTTGTATGTGCTTTAAAAGCGGTCCTCTTGCCTCTTCTGTCAATCAGCTTTGTGCTCAGAGCACTCTTTTCAATTTAAGATGTGACTTCACCAAGAACCTTCTTGGTAACACTGGTTACTGTCACCTTGTTCATGACTGCAGAATAACAGTTATTGTACCAAGAATGCATTTGTACTACAAATTTAAGTGTTAAAGTCATTCAGTAGCTTTGTGATGCCCAGATAACATTTAAAAATGGAACATTAAAAATGCTTGGATCAAAAGGAGGATTTTTAAGACAGATCTTGACTAATTTTATTTGGCCATTAGATGGCAGTGTTACAGAATGGTTTATAATTTTTTCCCTTAAACTTAACATTTTATAGTCCACGTAAACCATCAACTAGCACAGATTAAATTAGTATGAAACTGTTTTTAGTTGGACCATATCAGTTAAGCTAATGCAAGGTTTATAAGGGATTAAGTTATGGCTTTGTTTCAAACTACGCTTACATGTGTATATTGAATACCTTGGATTATATGAGCAGTGTTTTAAAAATGTTCTTCTACAGCTGCAGTTTGCTTGTATCTTGTTTTCTAAATTTGATCAATAGAAGTGAAAGTAATCCAATTTTATAAAATTCTGCTACATGGAATTAGTATAATTTTAACTAATAAATAAAATCTACCGTTATTCCTTGATACAAGCTTTGCTTGACTTTGCAAATGTTCTGCATCTAAATGCAAACATTACATACGATTCCCTGAGCCTTGAGGAAGACCACTTGACTCCTGAACATTGTCTGACAGCTCTCCCAACTACACAGTTGCCCCAATAAAGATCACAAAGAATCTTTGCCTCTTATAACTCCCTTTAATTCTGTGGCGCTCAACCTTTTTAGACTCAGGGCATCCCCATCGCTTTTCTGAATTTGGTGGCACTCCGTTTCAAAGAAGGAACACATTTATTATAGTGCAGTTCTATTGCAAGGAACTTGGAAAGACTACCACAGGTCAGAATAATGTTTTTGACACTAAGGATTCCCATTTCAAATGTCTGGGTTTACCTTGTGAATTGTGTGTAGGTGTTCGTACAGCCAACAGCATGAATATTACACAGTACCCCACAGCACCCTTAAAAGGGACCTCTGAGCACTGCCAGGTGCTGAGACACCCTGGTTAAGACTCCCTGTTCTAATTGCAAAGTGAAAAAAGTTAAATACAGACTTACAGCCAGAATTGGTAGCAATGCTTACAGTTAAGGGCATCTGATGCCTTTGTTTCAGAGCTCCTATTTTCAGTTATTTACTGCTACGCCGAACTTATCCTTCTGGCTGACATTGCCTGCGCTAGCTTTCTGCTTCACTCTGAAATTAAAGACAAGATTCAGTAAAAATATCACATTTCCAAGAAAGTATTTTGGGGAAGACCTATTTATCCACATAAAAGATTTACTAACGCTTCCTTTGAGAAAGGCAAGCACCTTTGGGCTGTGGAACAGGAACTTTAAATTTGCTGGGGTGGTGTGGGATGGAGTGCATCTTTTTTTCCATCCCTCAGAAAAGCCACCCCAATTGGGCTGACTCATCTGTGGTGGCAGGTACCAGAAATAAGAGCAGCAACATTGACACTGGCATGCTGCCTTCGCTCCTGTTGTCCCCGAGGCTGCGTGGGAGGGGGGATAGGAGCCAGCATTTCTGGACTGCAGAAACAGGCTGCACAAGAGATGGATTGAGGGACAGCAGTGAGGGCAAAACCACGTTCCAGCTGCACAGTATTGTGAAGAAAAAATTAGTAACACCTGGGAAGCACTTGTGTGTGCAATAGAAATACCTATAATTGTGTATTCAAGGTTTGGATGGTGCACACGGGGGTCATGGGGCCTCATTCATTGATGAGGATAAAAGAAATGTGAAACAGCGACCTGGTCAGTAAGTGTTGTTGATCTGGCCCGTGCAATGAATGAGGCAAAGGACCAGGGAAGAAAATGTGTTCCTCCTCAAGAGTGCCTCGCCAGATCAGGATAGGGACTTCCTTTGTGAGGTTACTAGTAGCATCGCTTGGTGGGGTTTGGCAAGATTACTTTACCTCATTTCAGTAGCTGTAGGCCAAGAAAACTTGCCTGATAATTTTCATAAGATTTAACGGGTCTGTAAGGATTTTGAGTCATTTAAGATCCTGGGTCAGATCCCAGACATCTTCTAAACAGTGGGAAAAAGTTCCAAAACCAAAATAAAAGGGCAAAGCTGGGGGAAAAAAAAGTGGCAAAGCATGTATTGTACATTCACTCAACCAGGCACAGAGAGCAATAATGTATGTTCTGCAGGTAGGTACTTACAGCTTCCCTTTCGTACCGAGAGACTCAGCTGCATAACTCCGAGCAATGCTTTCGATATGTGAGATCTGAGCGAAAGGTTGGCCTCTAATCTAGGAAGACAAGGACATCCCCAAGGTTTGTTATGAAGAGACAGTAGCTTCTTTGGTAACTGTTTATGAAGAACAAAAACACTTTTCTGATAAATTAAGCTTCAAGTATCTTTAATAAATCAGGAATTTTGGTTCTCTGATATAAAAAAAAAAAACCAACAACAACAACAAATCCCAATTTTCGGTCAATTTTTGGTTATTAAAAAAAAGAGTAACCCAAAATCCATATTTTTGCCGTGATTAAAATGAAACGCCACTTGTATACAAGTGGCGTTTCATTTTAATCAATGGAAAAAATGTGGATTTTGGGTTACTTTTAAAAAAAATGAAATTGGGGTATTTTTGGTCTTTTTTAAAAATCAGAGAAAACCAGGATCCCTGATAATCACTCAGCAGTCCTCTCTAGCTTAGAAGCCAGGCAAACAGTTGGTGTTAAACAGAGCTATACTAATGCCCACGACTGTATATGAATAGTGGCAGACACCACCCATTTCCAAAGGAAAAGGCTACAGCCCACCAGGGGATATGTTGCATTAGCCATGACTGCAGGAAAGACAAACCCAGTGCATGCAGTTAAAAAATGCCTGACATTTTCTGTGCAGAACTGCACGTGATGAGTCAAAGAGCTACTTGTAGCCTGGGAGCTGTGGTCTGAAGCCTTGAGTAGGTTATTTTGGAAGCTGGAATAGTCTTATCTACAAAGCAGATGGACTTGATAATTCAGACAGGCAAGGAGCTAGGTAAAAGAATTAAATCAACCTTTCAGCATCTTCTGAGAATTCCCAGCTATGGACACAAAAGTCAAAAGGTAAAAACTATTTCCAAACCTATTTGACCTGCATTGGTAGATGTCATATAGGCCTGGTAGCATCTTGAACTCTCTCACAAAGATGCCAAACCCATGAAAGGTGGAGTAGCTGGTACCAAGACGCAGCCAGCCCTTTGGAAAAGGCATCTCTCCCACCTATGGGAAAAGAAGAAATAAAAGCTTTATAGATGTTGATCATCTCTTTGTTCCCATCTATCAACCTCAGTTCAGGCCAGTTGGCTCATCTAACATTTCAACTGAAGACCTTTGCAAAGTCCAAGGCAGCTAAAACGACTTGGGAACCATAGAAGTGACACACAGACCTACCCCCATTTCTGCAGTCTGATGCCATCACCAAGATGTCATATTGAATGAAATAGTTTGAATGTTTGTAATAGTTGCCCATTAGCCAGCTTCAGGAAGAAGACAAGATTTATCTTCTTATCTAGGCCATTGTTTTGGTCTACGTGCGGAAGGTCCTGACTTTGCTCAAAGTCTTAACTTTTGAATTTTATCTTTAGAGGCCTTTAACAAAGAGAACCTAAAAATGACCCTTAAGCAAATATCCCGAATTCTGAGAGATCAAACCCTAGGGCCTTTGAAAAAATTGGAAAGAAAAGGTCACTTGCAGTGGTGTGGAAGTTCCCCAAAGTAATTAAAATGATTAACAAAAGAAACTAATTACTAAGCAAAAGAATCTGTTGAGAAAGATCCGAGCCCAAATTTGGGAGTAGTGACAGGTTTGGGTCGGAGGGGCCCAGGACGGCAACTCACTCAATAAAAACCTGTAACCTACTCTTCCAATTTGGAGGTGACTACACTTGCAGAACAACGAAGGAAGAATCGCAAGTGTAGACCGGATCAGATTGATCACCCGAACCACCCTCTCCGTGAACATGAATCTCTTAGTTCACGCTGAAGCTGCAGAGCGCCCGAAAGGGACTGAAGGAAGGGGACTTAGTCCTATCAGTATTGAGGCCAGCCCATTGAACTGTACTACTGAGGCCAACCCATTAAATTGTACTACTGAGGAATGAAACTATATTTAGGTGTTTGGCTTCTCGGAATTCTAGGATTGTAAGTATATTATGAAAAATAATAGTATTGATTCAAATTTAACTTTTAGTTGTAATTGTAGTTGTTTTTGTAATACTAATTCTTATAGCATTGTTTGGGAAGGAAGCGCATTCGGAGCATTGTTTCTGATATATGTAATTATTGTGTTCTTAATGTTTGTGGTGTTTCTTAAAGCTAAGCAGTGTTATATATGTAGCAAAGAGTTTTAAAATAAAATTGTGTTATATGAATTAAGTGTGTAATCATTGTGAAATCGTGCAATCAACTAGATACTCCCCCAGCCAGTGCATCAAACAAACCAGTAAATTGTGTGGGATCTTCTCTACTTCGTAACCCACTAGAGACACAAGACTTAGGCACTGTTGCCAAGATGAAGTTTCCAAAGCATCGCCAAGAGATTAGATTCCAGTTGTCCTGGAAATGATTTTGATGGGATAGTAAGAGAAATTATACATTTGAGTTATACATTTGAGTTGCAGTTTCTCTTGCTAAACACTCAAATGTCTGGACTTTCCATCTTGGAGGAAGTTAAGACCGTTTTGATACGCACTTCCTGGTAAAACAGGTACTTTACAAACACGATTGGACTTGACCACAGCCTGGAAAGAAAAACACTTTACTTTCAGGCAGACTCAGCCCCACACACAGTATTAGTCACTGTTTGCATTTGCAGATAGCAGCTGCTGTGTGTTCTTGAGTTTTCTATCAGGAAGCAAAATGGGAAGTGGGTAAACACCGACCTGAATGGCATGAACCTGCCTTACTGAAGCAGGCAGATGTGGCCAAGCCCAGAGCCCAATCTGGTCAGCCTCCACCTCCCAAAGTTATACCGTGCCTTTGGTTTAGAAACCAGACCGGAAGCTCAGGAGATCAGACCCTCAAAAGACGTTCTATGGTTACAATCACATTGCAAACCTAGCTTCTTAGTGGTGAGACTCCATGACTTCTGCAAGCTGGACACGAAGCACGTGCAAAAAAAGGAAGACAGCTTCACTTTGGGTGTGGAGGAGGTTTCTATTTTTATTGTGATGGAGTCAAGTTTGTTCATCCCTCCCATAAAGAGCTCTTAGGAATGTCTAAGCGATAACCTTCCCCCCTGAGTCAGTGTGAGCCACTCCCAGAGCGATGCTAGAGCACAGCTTGTGGGGAGCTGGGCAGAAATCTGAAGGGGCCTGTAAAGATCTTGCCCACTTGTGTTAGTAAAGCTATCATGCCACTTTTTTCTGCACATGTAGATGTTCTTCTGCTTGGTCGAATTCAAACTAGCAATACAGGAGTCACGCAAGCGCACCACAATCTCACTTAACAAAAGCAAGTTTGGAGCTTTCGTGGCTTTGTAAACAAGCTGATTTTTTAAATTTTTTTTTTTTAAAAGGTCTCATGATCTTTAAGCCAAGTGTATGATTCAGCGGAATCTGACTCACGCTCTCTAAATGCATGGGGCTGGCAAGAATACGGATAAGGCTTTTCATTCCCAGCCCTGGGCTGCTGTACCATGCCCCTTCTCACACTTTTGCCACTCATCCCTACCTCTTGCCCGTGTTACCAGGTTTGGTCAGCGACCTTTCAAACCTTTGAGATCCTTGTAAGATTTGGGAAGTGCAACGATGTCCGACTGTTGTCAAAACGCTGGTGCACAGAAAATGTTATGTTCAAATGGAACGGGGGGAAGTGGTATGCGCTTGGCTATGAGCCATTTGCTCTGACTGTGCTGCTGGTCTAAATTAAGGCCATTTCTCCCCCTGTTTGAAACAGGTTGGCTTGATAAAAGCAGCATTGAAATTCTAGCTAAAGCAGAGCTTTTCACTTGCTCCTCCACCTGCGGCAGCAGACGAGGGTTTGGCTCTTTTGAAGAACGAGCAACATTTCCCTGGCCTGAACAGGGCCCCAGGCCGCCTGCTACCAGATTCCCGAAGGCAGCGATTCCTAAACTCTGACAGATTGCACACCACCGATTAAAATGACACGACCTGGAGTACCACCAGCAAATTTCTGTCCTATAAAGTAATTAAAATAAGCCTGTTAACACATACCCCTGACAGGTCATCTGTGTACCACTGGTGGTACCCGTACCGCAGACTGGGCACTGCTGCCCTAATGCTCGACCTTTGGCTTTGGAGGGCCGGATGGCCGGCTGAGGCGCGTGGCCCTGATCCAGCACCTAGAGCGGGCACAGCAGGGCCCTATCGGGCTGCACAGAGGGAGCCAAGGGGCAACCTGACCTGCAGAGAAAGGGGCACGGCCGGACTCCCACCCAGCCGCGCAGGGAGAAGGGGTCTCTGTGCTGGGAGACGGCGTGTGCTCCCCACCACGTTGGCAACCCTGTCCGGGGGGCACCTCAAAGACCCGCGGGGCTAGGTTGGCCAGCCCGTGCAGAGGGTGAAGACCCGGCGGGACCCG